GATTTATTACATTATTGTCATGCATTGTGCTCAAAAGTAGTACAGTTTTATTTTTCTTTGGATAATACGCTAATAGAGATATATTATTATTGCGAACGAATTCGGTGTGCAATAACTGTAAATAAATTAACAAAAATATTAAATAAAGTTATTTGTTATTTATTAGTACAGCAGTGATAGCGCTATCACTACTGTACTAATATATTAAAAAATTTATTGCATTTAAATTTACCGGTCGTTTCTTTTTCGCGATTAATTTGTGATTATATTACGTAAATCCCGACTAATTGTGTGAACTTTTAAACGAGAAATCATTTCAGGGACGGCCAAACATTCTCCCAATGTATGCAAAAATTCACGGCGTTTACGTGCTTCAATTGGTTTTGAATCACAATTCACATTATGGTGTCTAAAGATAATAAAACTATTTGCAGCCATTATATCAAGAATTCCATAGAATGCAGCTGTTGGCCATCGTTTTGTACGCCTGCCCGTTGAATATGTTGAACACAATTGATCCATTGTATCGACGCCTCCTTTTGTCTTATTATAGTCTTCAATTATCTCTGGCTTTTGTGTTGAGGGATTTATTACATTATTGTCATGCATTGTGCTCAAAAGTAGTACAGTTTTATTTTTCTTTGGATAATACGCTAATAGAGATATATTATTATTGCGAACGAATTCGGTGTGCAATAACTGTAAATAAATTAACAAAAAATATTAAATAAAGTTATTTGTTATTTATTAGTACAGCAGTGATAGCGCTATCACTACTGTACTAATATATTAAAAAATTTATTGCATTTAAATTTACCGGTCGTTTCTTTTTCGCGATTAATTTCTTTGGTATTTCTCTCTTATTTTTCTTTAGTGTACCAATAATTGTCAATTTATGAATCAATAATTGGTGAGCTAACGGAAAGCTTGTGAACCAATTATCACAAGTTATATTCCTCCCAGAACCTCTCAATGGTTTAGTTATATCAAGAACAATATTTGATCCAAGATTTTTAGCTCTATTGCCATCGGTTTTTCCCGTGTAAAACATTGCATCCCAACAATAAGCTGTTTTTGCATCACATATTAGAAAGAATTTCAATCCATATTTGGCCGGTTTATTCGGCATATATTGTTTGAAAGGACATCGACCTCGAAATGCCCTCAACATTTCATCAATTGTCACAAATTCAGATAATTCGTAATTCTTTTTACAGTTTTTACGAAAAATATTGAATATTTCATTAAATAGTGCTAGTTTATCACCGGCGGCAATTCGGGCAATTCTTGAAGTTTCGTGATCGAAACACACATGAGCGGTGAGAAACTGATACCGTCTCAACGGCATCACGGCACGGAAAATGTCTCGGCCTCTGCCATTAGTGCACCATAAATCAGTTACATTTTCATGGGCAGATTTATGAACTCCTATTAATAATGACAATCCAATCCACGCCAGGATTTCTCTGTCGTTTGTCTTATTTTCATACCAATGGCACTTTATTTGTGATTGATTTTTGAGATTGATTTTATTATAAATCTTATTATTGGTATAAATCACAATCAATTTTAAAATATCATCTGTTAAAAATTGTCTGAATGTAGATAAAACATCTGAACAGTCAGTGGATGCGACTTTTGGGCCACTTTGAAAGCGGATAATATTGTGTTGTGGTGTCTTAGCCAATGAATTGGATGATTGCGATGAAATCGGCTGAGATAGGCTTTGGCTCACATTGAACTGATTGTTATCTTCATCTGAATCGGTTTCAGAGTAATAGACTGGCTCTGAATCTGAGTCCAATTCCATCTCAGACAAGCTATCATGTTCACTGTGTTCAGTGTGATTTGAAATTATGTCACTATCATTGTCTTCATATGTATTATTATTGTCGTGATTTAGTAACCAATCCAAGTTGTTATTTGTCGACATTTTATTGATTATTAATAATGATAAAATAGTACTGAAGGTGAAAGCGCTATCACTCTTCAGTATTTACATTGTCAACACACATTGTCTACAAATAATTAACAGGTGAACTAAGTTTAACTAAGTAACTAAACATTAATGTAAAGTAATGTGTTATATTGCGTGTTTGTGAACTATACTCTAAGTTACGTATTCTCTCATGTGTTACCGACTGCAGTGTTCATTGATTTGTAATTACATTTCAGTACACAATATAACTCACAAACACTTGATATGAGATTCAATGCATACGAGAGTACACTATGGCTGACGTGTGTTCATTGAATGTGAGACTATCACATTGAAATAATTGGTTGAATGTCTTTCCCTAAACATATAAAACATGTGAAAACACACAATATAACTCACAAACACTTGATATGAGATTCAATGCATACGAGAGTACACTATGGCTGATGTGTGTTCATTGATTTGTAATTACATTTCAGTACACAATATAACTCACAAACACTTGATATGAGATTCAATGCATACGAGAGTACACTATGGCTGAAGTGTGTTCATTGAATGTGAGACGAAATAATTACAAAAAAATGTTGTCCCAATGCATACAAAGTACACAATAAAATAAATACTCAATTAGGCCTGCGCGTGATACATCTACATTGGTTATCTCGGTGGCTAACGTTTGACTCTGAATGTGAAAATAATTACAAAAAATCCTGCCACTCTACATATAAATAATTACAAAAAATGTTGTCCCAATGCATACAAAGTACACAATAAAATAAATACTCAATTAGGCCTGCGCGTGATACATCTACATTGGTTATCTCGGTGGCTAACGTTTGACTCTGAATGTGAAAACAATTACAAAAAATCCTGCCACTCTACATACAACGTATACAAAACGATTAGTACTGTTTAGCCTATTAAAACTCACGTATCGCGTTGAGTGGCAGGATTTTATATAAAATCAAATATTAATCATACTTACAATTAACTTATATCATCGAAAAATTCTAAATATTTAAAACTTTTTGATTTTGAGGCATTCCTGAAATTTTTTTTAGCTAGTGCTTTTCGTTGATTTTTAAATAAATGTTGAACACAACATTCATATAAATCCTGCCACATTATACGTTAAGGGTTAAACAACTCTCAACTTGATCCATTTATGTGGTTTTTGTGTTTAATCTACAAAAACCAATTCATTATTTGTTCTTTAAAAATTTTAAAATGATTTTCAATTATATACTGTATATTGAATTAATTTAAACTAAATTAAATAATAATGAAAACAATTGTATTTTTATTTGTTATCTTTTCATTTATATGTTTAATTGGAAGCAATGATCGCATATTAAATAAGTTTTGCTCAACAGAAGAGTTGGTATCCATTGATTATTTCGGACTTTTTTATCAAATCAATAAAAGCAATGAAATATTCTTCTATAATGTATTCGACGAAGAATTTGTAATTGGTCCTCAAGTAGCTAACCAAGGTTCTTTAATAATATATATTTATTATGTTGTAATTTTTAAAATACTGTTTAATATATTAACATTTAGAACATAGAATAAAAAGTGATTGGTTGGACGTGTTTTGGCCCAAATATCACATCACATTTCGGTTTAAAGGTATCAGTTTTAATGATTGGTATAACAGAAGTTGGTTTAAATACGGCGACAAACAATTTAAACGTTTTGAGATTAAAACCGATTTCAATATTAATACCACTCTTAAGACAGCATTTTATTGGAGAAAAAACAAAGAAATGATTTTTATTTTGTATGGAAATAAAACTATTAATCAAACCCTTGTTTATGTGTTTGATCCGTTCAATAAGAAAAATATGTTTAAACATAAGGTGAGTATTTTTATAGTAATATTGTGTGTTTTCACATGTTTTATATGTTTAGGGAAAGACATTCAACCAATTATTTCAATGTGATATAAAATTGTCCGAATGGGGGAGATATATGGTAATTGTGTCAACATTTATTATTATACTTATATCAATTGGGATTGTCTTTGATTTGATTTGGTTCGACTTCAGCCGGCATTTCACAAATGTTTGTCGGTGTTTCAAAATCTTCTAATTATATTTATATTTTAATTTACTGTACAAATACTTGTAATTCATTGTAATAAATCAGATTAAGCTTACAATCCTTTTATAATTCATTCACAGAGTTGCCTGCATATTAGGAGATATCCTATTTAATGTTATGCATAATTTGAATTCATAAATCTTAATGCATAAAGATTTCTTTTAATATTAAAAATAAAAATTTAATTTAACAAAAAATATAATAAAAGAAGAAACAAGTTTTGCAGATTAAAAGTCAATCACAGATATGTGTTATATTGACGGAAATGAATAACTTTGAAACTAAATCTTTGCACAAAGTTTAGCAATCAAACAATATGTGAATAGATAGCAAATGTTTAATATTAATCAACTAATATATGCATTAAATTTCAGACTTTAACAAACTATTAATTCATTTAATCCAAATTAAATGTCAGTTAAAATATTTGAAACAAATAACACATTTTTGTATATTTCATCAAAAATGTAATTTTCTCACACTTTCTGAGACGGATTACATGACTGAACAACAGGTGAGTGAGTGTTAGTGTAGGTGCGAGTGCTTTGAATGTCAGCGCAATTCTATACAATTGTACGCAATATAGCCCTAAAGCCACGAAAAACCAGTCGAGTGTATATTAATACTAATGACTTGTATTTCCCACAACTCTCTGGCCTTTACTTTAAAAGTTTGAAAATTAAAACACAATACACTCTACACTCGGAAACCTTCATTCGCTGCTAAAGATTATCTCAATTGTGATATTATATAATAGAAAATACCATATTTTTAGCGGTGATGTCTGTCTGCGGTATAATTATTTCCATTTCTATTACAATCTATTGTACATTAAAGTGATTTTTGAAAATCAATTTTTACGATAATATTTGTAATAACAATTGTATACTATCTGCACATTTGATTCACATATTTAACACTAACTTTAAACTTTATAGAGAAAAAATTTCCTCAACAAATTATCGACAAAATAAATCAATTGATTGAAAATATTTTTTAAAAGTAAATATTTTCCTACAAATAATGTTTCGATGAGTGTTGCGAACAAATCGATGCTATTTTAAAGCAACATTTCAAGTTATTATACTATTATTTTGTAAAATTATTTAGTATTTTATTTCTTATTATTGAATATAAAATATTTATTCAGGTTTTTTGGGTAACGATTCTCTCTGTCTCTCTCCACACATAATATTCTGGCGATCAGTAATGCTCTGAACAAACTTGAGTTCAATAGGGAGTGATCGCACCGTTAGGTTTATGGCTTAACTCTGATGTGAAAAAAGTTTTCCCAAAAAATAGCATTCAATATATATTTCGAGTCAAATCCTTATCGGATAGCAAACAGAGAGAGCACAGACTCTATGAGCTCGAGAGTGAGAGTTAGTGGCAAACATCCGCTCTCTCTTTTGCATCCGTTTTGGCGTTAATATTATTATTACAACATATCTGTCATGTATTAGTTTTGTGGCGATTTTTATTATTGTTATAATAGTGGTTTAAAAGTTTTGATTTTTTTATTTTTATCAACTCTTTTTTATAAAAAGTTTTAATTGTTTTAAAATTATGATTTTTATTATAAATTTATTTTTATAAAATGATTTGTGTCTTATTTGGAAACTTTTTAAATGTGATATTGTTTTGCGTAAAAAAAGTTTGTAAAACAAAGTGCGAAACACAATGAGAAACATGTATTTCAATGCGATAATGAGCTTATTCTCCATCTCGAGTACCGTTAGTGTGTTGACTGGTTTCCAGACTCCGGCCCCTAAGTTAACCCTATTATCCCCGGCTCTCAACGGAGACACAGTTGACATTATGGCCAACACTAGCCTTCATCTGAAGTGTACGGGCGATAAGCCTATGTACTGGCAGTTTCCCAATAATAATCCGGTAAACAATTGTTTAATACTTATGAAAAAATCTATTATTTCCACGAAAAAATATATCAAACACTATAGAAAAACATTTCGAAATAAAATGTAACAAATTATATGATTAATATCTATTGATATATAAAAGCAATTTTAATGTGAAATATAATGAGTCTGTTATACTGTATGCCAACCGATGCTCAGCAGTACGACCCGGTGGTCAAAGTGGCACAGATTCGTAGCAAATGCGATGACAATCAACATTTGAAATGTGTTACCGATGTTGTCATACCTGAAGTCGATTACGAAATGACCGGTCATTTCACGTGTCTCTACAACGACTCGACAATAAGCGAGAGATCGGACACTATCTATGTCTACGTGAACGGCAAGTGTTTGACTGATTGTATAATTTATAACATTTATTTATGAGGAAAATAATTGATTTGTATTATTTGTTAATATAATGGAAGAGCAGATCCGGAATATCTGATCGTTCCGTATGAGGGAAACTATGACTTCATGTTTATAGCGGTGTTTCAGTCGCAACCGGCGACCATTCCCTGCAAACCAACCGATTCCAGAGCTAAGGTCTCGCTATGGAAAGTACACACAAATTCCGGTATTCCTCAGGAGATTGTGGTCAACAATACGCTGGGAATCACTTACAACGCGAAGAAAGGCTATCACTTTGAGTACCCGCGTTGGGACGGAGAGACCAGTCTTCTCGAGTGTAAGGTTGAGTTGGATGGCATCGAAATGATATCGCAAATTAGTATACACTGGTCAAGTGAGTTATCTTTTTCTCATCATTATTTGCATATTATTTATTCAGTTTTGTTAGTTTTTTCAATTATAATATTAGTTTCATAACCAGTTTATATTATAAGTTGTACAATATTATACAGTACAACTTTTTTGCATTTATTAAATCATCAGCTTTCCATTAATTATAATTTTATTTTTTAGTGTATAATATTTAAAGATTATAATATTCACTCATTAATAGCATATTTATTACCAAACGTGACATTTAAAATGGATTAGAGATTCAATTAATTTATGGAGATTAATCGTGATATAAATATAATTATTTATATATAAAGTTTATTGAATATATAATTAATATAGTTTTTAATGTATTCTTAAAAATAATATTAAAGAATAACAATTTATATAATAAAACTAATAATAACTGAAAATGTATTGCATTTAGTATTGCCGGTGGAATTGCATCCTCTTATTGACGACAGTCGGGCTAAAAATGTGTTCATAAACAGCACTTTCACGTTAAAATGTTTCGTTCACATTGAGCTTGGTGTTATAATTGTGATTACGTGGGACGTACCCAACCATAATGTATAAACACTATTCATAAGAAATAAATGAAACAATTTTAATCCATATAAATCGTTAGACTTTAGAAAGATTTACGGAATCAATGGCTGAAACTCAGAGAATTGAATTGAATGGCAATAGTTATGATACGGTCTCAAAGAATCTGACCATAACTGATGCACAAATGGAAGACGACGGCAATTATCACTGCAATGTCACCGATGGTAACGGCAGAGTGTTTAGTACATCCAAAAAAGTCACTGTATATGGTATGCATTTTTGTCTACTTTGCTTAAAACTTTGTGTTATTAATAATAACTTATTATTATATTTTAATTTAATTTTGTGAAAAGTCATCATGTTAATTGAATGTTTTGTTTCATAACATGATCAGAGAATGGTTTGCCGCCGTCTTATGTGAACTTTTCAATGGATATCAACAATAATAAGCCACTGATTAGTAAAGTGGGAGAAATGGTTAGATTTGTTGTCGATGTCCTATCATTTCCAGACTTAGAATCTGTACAACTATTTTGGTTTAAAAATGATGTTTTGATTGAGAAAAATCACAAACATTTCTTAACTGGTGTTAAAACTGATGGACAATTACCGCAAACGTATCTTGAGATTAAAAACATTGAACTTGAAGACAGTGGCACTTATATGTTGGTCAGTAAACACAACTCTTAGATAATAAAACAAATATTTTATGACTTTATAAAATTTAATTGTTTTTTATCTAAAGCTGGGAAACACTAGCGATATGTCGACAAACATATCGATGCACTTATTAGTGAGCGGTTCGCCGGCTATTAAGATGATAAATACGGTTGAATTTTATGAGATAAATAAATTGTATGAATTGGAGTGTCTGGCCATTGGATACCCGAAATCGGAAATCTGGTGGAAATGGTATTCTTGTAAATCACCGGAAAATTGTTCCCCAAATGATAATGAATTTCAATGGATTGATATCAACGACAAAAAGAATTCTAGTTTATTAGAAAACAGCGAACTTTTAATCAAACAAAATATTAGTTCATTATATTTAAGCCAAACAAGCCTTCAAGTGATTGCCAATCAAAGCGGTGCCTATCGTTGTTTTGCCACTAATGACAACACCACTACAATTCACAGCCAGATCTCGTTTATTGTGACCGGTATTTTATAGTTTTATGTTAAGTATATTTCTTTTAAATGCAATATTTTGTACATTAGATGCTATAAACGGATTCTCAATCATATCATCGACTGATGAGCCGACAGTACGGGAAGACATAAGCCTCACCTGTAAGGCCAGTGTTTACAACTATACAGAACTCAATTGGATTAGAAAACCATTGGACGGAATAATAGAGTCAGAAGATGAGTACAATCTGACGGGTAATTAAAATTGAATAAAATTTATTAAATAACTAATAATTGGTTTGAGAAACAGATCTAATCCATAGTTCTTCAGTTGATGAATATTCCATAACTTTGTCAATACAACTAAAATCAGTACAAATAAGTGATTCCGGAGTTTATGTCTGCGAAGCACTCACTCGTGATAATCAACAAACCAAACATGAAATTGAATTTAAACTCGATATACAAAGTAAATAATCTCTGATGTTTTTAATATTAAAATAAGTATAAATTGTTAAATAAGTACTTTCCTATAGACATATCAGCGCCGGTTATGATTGAGTCTAATATGAAAGACAATGTGATAGAGAAGACTCCATACACTCAATTGGAGTTGCGATGTATGGTTAGGGGAAGACCTAAACCAGTGATCACTTGGTATAGGAATAAAAAGCCATTTATTGTGACCGAAAATACTGGCATTAAATTGGAGGACAGAAACCAAATCTTGACGTTTACGCGAATTCTGGACAAAGATTCGGGTCTTTATGAATGCGAAGCACACAATAGCGGCGGTACTGTTAAGCGAAGCGCTCGACTCAAAGTAGACAGTCCTGAAGACACCACTTCCGGACTCAGCACTGAAGAGATCATTGTGTTTGTGCTGTTCGTTGTGGTCGGAACTGTCATGATATTTATGGCCATATATATCGGCAAAAAGATCAGACAGGAAAGGGTAAGCAGTTTAATGAATTACATGTAAATTGGTTTGAAATTTAATTGATGCCATAATTATTAGAAACAAAAGCGTGAACTCGAGTTTCTATCTCACAATCTCTTCGAAACGGGACAAATAGAGATGTTTAACCCCGATATGCCTCTCGACGAACAAATTGAATTATTGCCTTACGATCCCAGATATGAGTTCCCCAAAGAAAGACTCAAATTAGGTTTGAATCTTAAAATCTCGTAAAAATAGTGATTAATGAATTGAGTTATATTTGTTATGGTTAGGCCGTACTCTAGGACAGGGAGCCTTTGGTCGAGTGGTTAAGGCGGAAGCGATTGGTCTCGAAGATGGAGATATTTCAACTACAGTTGCCGTCAAAATGCTCAAAGGTTTGTATAATACAGTACTGTTTACAGTAGTTTTACAATGTCTAGTTTGTACACAGCGTACACGAGCATCAAAACATTGCCGTGTAATTAACAGTAATAGACAGTGTGGGCTTTACTTTTAGTTATTTATTTATAATAAATATAACTTGTAAATTGTAAGTTATAATACAGGGAAATTGTGGGAAATTTAATAACTTTAACATTGAGAAGAAGTTTTGAAATTGTATTGTAAATTCTTATACCTAGACATTGTAGGTATAAAATTACATTTTCATTAAAATCTATTACTTCACAGAAAGGGCTGATATAACGCAAAGGAAAGCATTGATGGCTGAGTTAAAAATTCTGATACACTTGGGAAGACATCTAAATATAGTGAATCTATTGGGAGCGGTGACCAAAAACCTGGTCAAAGGGGAACTTCTTGTGATTGTCGAGTACTGCAAGTTTGGGAATTTGCGCCACTATTTGCTCGCTTATAGGGATTCATATGTCAACCAATTAAATCCAATGACAGGAAATATAGATCCGGCCATCAAAACAATACAAGACATGAGAAAACAGTCGAATCTGATTAACTCAAAGTCTCCTAACTATGAGAATGTGTTTGCAGTGAATGGTATAACAAATCCTAATTATACCACTTCTTCGCAAATTGCGTCCATAAATATAAAGAAAGAGAGCGTCCGTTACGCAGATATTATGCATAATCAACAGACAAGCGGTAGTTATACTAACGGTTACATCACAACAATCAATAGCGCGGGTCAAGAGACGGGTCAGGACTCAAGTTCGGCCAATGGTTCGGGCGGTTATCGCGGAGAGTCTATACATAAGCGAAATAAAGACAAATTGGTTACGACTTGTGATTTACTGTGTTTTGCGTTTCAATGCGCGCGAGGAATGCAATACTTGGCCCACAGGAAGGTCTGTCTCCACATTTGATTTGTCGCCGAGTTTTGTTGTATTTATGATAAAACTATTATTAACAGCTCATACATCGAGATTTGGCCGCCAGAAACGTATTGCTGGCCGAAGACAATATCGTTAAGATCTGTGATTTTGGTTTAGCAAAAGATGTCTATAAATATGATAATTATGTGAAGAAAAATGATGGACCGCTTCCTATTAAATGGATGGCCATTGAGTCGATTAGAGACAAAGTTTTTACTTCGAAAAGCGATGTAATGATTATAATTTGTATTTTGTGTCGCTTTGATTGTTAATATTAATTTACTTTTAAAGGTTTGGTCTTTCGGTGTTTTGTTGTACGAGTTTTTTACATTAGGGGGTAATCCTTATCCCGGTATTGAAATTGATGAAGAATTTTATAAGCGTTTAAAAACTGGTTATCGAATGGAAAAACCAGACTTTGCTCCAAATGATATGTCAGTTCATTTTACATTCAATATTTATATGAAATTATATTAAGTATTAATTTTTAATTTAGTTATGAATTAATGAGTCTCTGTTGGAGAGCCGAACCTAAAGATAGGCCAGACTTTATGGAAATCGCGGATATTATTGGAGCCCTTTTGGAGTCTAATGTTAGACAAGTATGTAATTCA